CACCACCACAGCACACCCCCTCCTCCGCTCTCTCCTCACCTCACATTCACATCTGGAGTTCAAGCCAAATGCAATCCTTCTCTGCACTGTACACACACACAGCGCCTCTCTGGTCCCACAATTCCTCTCTAGTTGCTCGCCTCACCACGACATTCACTCCGACTGCTGCACCCAACACTCCCGTCATTGGCTTTGCGCCCTCACTCGACCAGACTGCCCACTTGTTGCTACTTCTGTGGCTTGCCTGCCACAAACAACGCTAGCTCAAGCGTGTCAGCTCGACTCGTTGAAAGCATCTCACCGTCCTCCTTACTACTTTCTGCCGCAACTACGCCATGGCCGCCACGGTAATAACCCTGCGTCTCATAATCAGATTAGTGAACCTAAAACATTACTTCCTGATAGGTAATCTAGTCGCCAGTGCCGCCATGTATCCGAATCGGCGAATCTTGCTGAGGCGCCTTGATTTTTGTACCGATTGATAACGATCTACCTGCAAACAGTATAAGATGACACTACTTACCATGCGTCCCGTCACTACGGATTAACGCAACAGCCGCGGAGCATCCTGTTAATGTTTTTGTTCGTTTTCTATGTTGTTATTATTTTTAATTTCAATTTCTTGTTTCCATTTCTCGTAGACACACAGCAGATTCTCTCTCGCTGCCGCACATCATCCTCACATCCCTCCACTTTCTACGCTCTCTTCCCCAACGTACTTCCCATATCCCCTCCCGCGCTCCTTCCTCCGCTCACTCCTAGGTCTCCCGGGCGTTGACCGTCACATGCGCGGCGCGCCACGTCACGTGCGCGGCGGCGGCAGGCGGCGCCGCGCAGCAGCAGTGGACGGTGAAAGCTCTGGAGAGCAAGAGTATCGCGGACTTGCGAGCTCTGGCGAAAGAGCGTGGATTGCGGGGCGACACGCGGGCAGAACTCATCACACTGCTGACGTGGGTGCCCGCCCCGTAGTAAAAAAAATAAAGCGGCCTTTCCAAATGCTCTCTGCACCTGCTCTGTTCTTTACCGTTCTGTTCTGCTAGGTTCCTTCCACTTGTTTCCGTCTGGTTCCGTCTAGTTCCGTTTGGTTCCGTTTAATTCCGTCTGCCAGTGTGTCCTCTAGCAATCCTCCCCTCTCATCGCAGTTTCCCTCTGCGTTCACTCGTCTTCCTGCTAGCTCCATCTCGGGAATGCCGTCTACCATTGCATGTCGTTTCGGATCTCGTTGTCTCTGCTTCCCCCCTCTCCCACACTCTCCGCCTTCTCCGCCCTATCCGCCCTCTCCGCCCTCGCATCACCTGCGCCAACGGGCTGAGACATTCCGCAATCCGCCGTAACATTCCCCTTTTCCCCTTGCTGTCTTTCCCCCCACCCCCCATGCCCTCCCTCCCCCCTTCCCTTCTTCCCCCCCCCCCCCCCCCCCCCCCCCCCCCCACCCTCCCCTTCCCGCCCCTCTTCCACTCCTCACCTCCCCCCCAAACAACAGGTCCACAGGAAACGTCAGCGCAAGTTCCGCCTCCGCAGTTTCCGCCCCGGCTTCTACCCCCGCTTCCGCCAGCGCAGCGGGCGCGGCAGGGCAGCAGCAGCGGCAGCGGCAACTGGACGTGCTTCCGCTGGCGCAGCTGCGCGCCATGGCGCGGAGCAGAGGGCTCAACGCGTCGGGGAGCAAGGCGCAACTAGTTAAAGACCTATTGTGAGTTGGCAGCGCGGAGGGAGGGGGGGTGGAAGTCGGGGGGAAAGGGGGAAGAAGGGGAGGGGAGGAGTTTTGGGAAGTCAATCTTAGAGGCGTTGCGGAGTAGCTCGTCCCCTTTCTGTTCTCTTACCTCTCCTTTCTGCCCCCTCCGCTCTTTCCGCCCTTTCCGCGCTCTCCATTCCTCCGTCCCCTCCCATACCCCCTATTCCAGAATCGCGGAACTCGGCAGTGCTCCATCCGCTCCCTCCCCTTCCGCCTCCGCCCCCCGCGTTTCCGCCCCGCCTCCCGCCACCCCCGCACCCCGCTCCGCCTCCGCTTCCCCGTCCGCCCCCGCGCCCGCGTCCCCGAGTAAGACGTGGAAGAGCCAGCTGCAGGCGCAGCCCCTTTCCGCCCTGCGCGCGCTTGCGCGGGAGCGTGGCCTGCGCGGAGACACGCGCGCGGAGCTGATTACGGTGCTCAGTATGGACCCGCCCGCAGGCTCGGAACTGCCGGGCCTGGTTCCGAACCTACCGTCTTCGTTCGACCTGCCGTTCCAATCGGAGGTGCAGGCTGGGAGCAGCGCGCTTGAGCCCTCACAGGTGGGGGGCGAAGGGGGAGGGGGAAGGGGGAAAGAAGGCAGGGAAAAAGGGGGAAATGGGGAGGGTGGATAGCGAGGGGGGATGTCTGGTGGGTAAGATAAAGACTGGAAGCGTTAAGTCAAGGCATGGAGTGAGCAAATGTGACAAAACTAATAAGAAGCAACTACAATCACGCATTCCTCCTTCTTCCCACCTTCCTCTACCTCCTCCATCTCCCCCTCTCCTCCGCCCCCCTCCCCTTCCGGCTCCTCCCCTCCCCTCCCTTCTCCACCCCTCCCCCCCTCCCCTCCCAACCTCTCGACGCTCTCCCTCCTCCCTCCCCTACTCCCTTCCCCACGCACCCAGGCGGCCAAGCTGGCTTCTGAATTAGCATCGCTATCAGCAACTATGCAGGTGCTGCAGTCGAAGCAAGCGACACTGTCAGGAGAACGAGACAGCCTCAAGGAGCAAGCGGACCTGCTAAGGAACGTGCTCGTGGGTGGGCTTGGACTCGCGCTCATCCCGCTGCTGCTCCCGCTGCAAGCAACCAACACGGCCGTGCAAGGCACTGTTACTACCACCACCAGTGTAACCCAGGTGAGCTTTGGTCGTAGTGTGTGTGTGTGTGTGTGTGTGTGTGTGTTTGTGTGTGTGTGTGTGTGGCTTCTTTCTTTTTCCTGTGTGTGTGTGTGTGTGTGTGTGTGTGTGTGTGTGTGTGTGGCTTCTTTCTTTTTCCTGCTGCTCTCACTGCAAGCAACCAACACGGCCATGAAAGGCACTGTGACTGCCGCGCCGCCACCAGTTCAACCACACCCCCCTCCACCAGACGCCCCCTCCCCCAGCACCACCTGCGCCTGGAGTGCAAGGAGCTCACACCAGAGGAGTTCCTGCTGCACGCTTCTCAAGTCTGACAGTCTGACTCACCCAACCCATTCCCCTCTGCTTCCTTCCCCCCTCCACTCCACACGCCCGTCCACCAGACGCTGCCTCCCCCAGCAGGAGTTCGGCTCGGCCTGCTGCCCCTGAGGTCTGGGAGCAGGATTGTTCTTTTGATTGAGAATGTGTCGTGTGCCATTGTAACGAGGTGACTTTTGAGTCGACTCAAAGGTCTGGGAGCAGGCAGGATTGTTCTTTTGATTGAGAATTCTCAAAAAACAGAGCTGGCGTGCGCCGAAGGAAGGAGTTCTGCCGCACGCACGCTTATTGCGTGAACTCACATGTAATCTACCTGTTCCTTACTCCTCCCATCCCATCCCCTCCACCAGACGTTGCCTCCCCAAGCACCACCTGCGCCCGATCTGAGGGAGCAGGCACCAGAGGAGCTTTCTTGCGTCCCTCTCTCTATGTCAACTCATAAATCCATCCAAATGATCCGCTCCACCCCCCCCCCCCCCCCCCCCCCCCCCCCCCTCCCCTCCTCCCCCCTCCCCGCCTACCCCCCCTCCGTCTACCAGACGCTGCCTCCCCCAGCACCGCCTGCGCCCGAGGTCAGGGAGCTGGCACCAGAAGAGTTCTGCCGCACGCTCCCGGCCTCGCTGCTCTCCCCCGACCTCGCAAGATTCTGCCAGGCTGTCAACAACATGAACCTGTGATCCTGTCACCGCTCCCCTTGGGTGGGCTGTTGAAAATCTATTTGGGAGGGAGGGGAGGAGATCTTGTTGGGCTGGGCATGAGTTGAGCTGAGAGCTCAATATGCTCCTTCCTTGCCTCGCTTCGCTGCTTTTGCCTGGAACTTGCTAGATTCTGCCCCAGGCTAGGCTAGGCTGTCTAACAGCATTGGGCTGTGACTGGACTGGAGGCCCTGCATTGGGGTTCTTATTTGGGCTGTAAACAAGGTTACTTCGGGGAGGCGCACGGGTGCATTGGGGTTTGGGGGCTCACCGAAAAGCTGTGATGTGACTCGGGCTGTGGCTGCGTGCCCTGATTCATTTGGGATTGTTCGTCTCGGGAATCGGGATTATAAATGGCACCGGAGAGTGCTCGCTGTAGGGGTTGGGGTTGGGTAGGGTGTGGATGGGTTGTGGAGGAGCAGTGTGGGTGTGTTTTGATGTGAACATGGTAGATACCGTTTGTTTGTTTTGCGTATGTGCTGCTGGGAACACTTGCTCAAGTTTACTGCAATTGGATTTCCCTGTTACCGTATCTGTAGCTGTCTGTAATACAAATGATTACAGTACTCAAGAAGAATGCAGTACCAGGCCAGGCAGGCAGACATTGGTATGACACTGTGCTACGCCTACTGCCAAGCAATGAACTGGACTGGACGCTTGAAATTGATAATGGGTGTATTATTACTACCGGTAAGAAATTTCACAAGCCAACCCCAGCCACCACCAGGAGCTTGCAAAAAGCCATTGCGCCTCTCTCACACAAAGGTGACTTTTGAGTCGACTCATAAGTCAGCTTGCAAAAAGCCATTGCGCCTCTCTCACATAGACTCATCCCCCAGGACGAAGGGCTCTCAGCCTCTCATCTCATATTACGGTACTGGTACCGCTAGACTGTGAAGAGTTTCCCAAGGTTGGAAGAACAAACCGTTCAAAGTAATCGCAACTCAAACACGTGGTTGCTGAGAATTCTTGTCCTGCCTGCACTGTACCGTATCTAAAAAACCACATGTTTGGGGTTGTCTTAAACAACCACCTGTCACAGCTCATCTTCCTGCACCAGCCCTCTCTCCCTTCCTCCCGGTATTTACGGTATGAGGTGACTCAAGAAGGGAATAATTGTCCTGTGTCTTCAACAGCCACCTGTCACAGCTCATCGTCCTGCACCAGCCCTCTCTCCCCCTCCGCATCATCCTCTTGCTCATCCTCCTCACCCTGTGCTCGGCCCTCCCCACCCCCACCGTTCCCACTCGCTCGCCTCCCCACACTGGAGAAATCATCGTCTTCTGTAGCGGTGCCACTCCCTGTGGGTGCTATATCCAGCCTGCTATCTACCAATCCATTAACAGTCTCTTTTCTGTGAATGAACACTCTGGGTTCAGTTTCCTGTTGACATGAAGGGTAGAGGGAAGAAAAGGTGGATAGGGGAGGACAGTGAGGTTTAAGGCAATTCAAGAGTCACGTTGGATATAACTCGTCAGCTGTAGAGGTATTCTGTAGAGGTACCATTTCTTGGGGTACCAGTTTGTGTGTCTTGTTCCCTTTATTGGCAGCTTCTTTTCTGTGAATGAAAACTCTGAGTTGAAACGTGGAGGGGAACAAGAGCTTGCCAAGACCGGGAAGGGGATAATTTGGTATTTGTCAGTTCGCAACAAGCAGCATGGGGAGGAATGGTATCAGAGCACGAAGAGCATGAGGAGCATGAGGAGCATGAAGAGCATGAGGAGCATGAAGAGCATGAAGAGCATGAAGAGCATGAAGAGCATGAAGAGCATGAAGAGCATGAAGAGTCTTGACAGAGCATGGGATTGCAAGAGCTTACCAAGACTGGGAAAGGGTAGCGAAGCGGAGGCATGCGGAAGAGTGTGCTAGTGCTGATGCGCATGCGCACAAAGCCACTGGCGTTGGCCACAGGCTCATAGGATGGGACCGAGGGATGGGCGCTGGTGAGAAGGAAGAGAGGGAAGGGAGAGAGGGGGAGAAGGAAGAAGGAATTTGTTTTCATGGATGCTCATGCTCATGCTCATGCTGCTGATGATGATGCGCACAAAAGCCAACAGCCTTGGCCACGGGATTGCAGGGTGAGACGGAGGGATGGGCGCTGCTGGGAGGGCAGAGAGGGTAGGAGAGAAAAATATCTTTGTGCAATACATAATCTCAGATAAGACCTATTAGTGAGAAGCAACGAGGTCGCAGGATGGGATGGGATGAGATGGGATGGAGAGACAATAAGGAGGGGCAGGAGCAGGCTGGGAAGTGAAGGGAATGGAAGTGAGAGAGGGAATTGAGACAGGGAAGTGAGACAGGAGGAAGTTACAAGCAGCAAGAACATACACACCTGTTGTGACGTCCCAAGAGACAACGGAGCAAGTAGATACACACCTGAGAAGGTATGAGAAGTTGGATTGGGAGAGCTGGGAGAGAGTGAGGCCCTCCTGCTTGGAGTAGCTGCAGTGGGAAGAGATGCAGAGGGATGGGAAGGTATGGTAAGGGGTGGGAAGGGATGGGAAGGGATGGGCAGGGAGATGAATTTGTGTGTGCTGGATTGGAAGAGCTGGGAGAGTGAAAGGCCCTCCTTCTTGGAATAGCTGTGGTGAGGTGGAGGGGAGAGCTGGGACGGGAGACCGGAAGGGAGATGGAGAAGGGAGATGGAGAAGGGAGATGGAGAAGGGAGATGGAGAAGGGAGATGGAGAAGGGAGATGGAGAAGGGAGATGGAGAAGGGAGATGGAGAAGGGAGATGGAGAAGGGAGATGGAGAAGGGAGATGGAGAAGGGAGATGGAGAAGGGAGATGGAGAAGGGAGATGGAGAAGGGAGATGGAGAAGGGAGATGGAGAAGGGAGATGGAGAAGGGAGATGGAGAAGGGAGATGGAGAAGGGAGATGGAGAAGGGAGATGGGACCAGAAGAAGGCGTGACATGGCGAAATTTGAGGCGCCTCAAAAGGACTGGACGGCGTGAGGTGATGAGTGAGGTGATGAATGAGGTGATGAGTGAGGTGATGAATGAGGTGATGAATGAGGTGATGAATGAGGTGATGAATGAGGTGATGAGTGAGGTGATGAATGAGGTGATGAATGAGGTGATGAATGAGGTGATGAGTGAGGTGATGAATGAGGTGATGAGTGAGGTGATGAATGAGGTGATGAATGAGGTGATGAATGAGGTGATGAATGAGGTGATGAGTGAGGTGATGAATGAGGTGATGAATGAGGTGATGAGTGAGGTGATGAATGAGGTGATGAATGAGGTGATGAATGAGGTGATGAATGAGGTGATGAATGAGGTGATGAGTGAGGTGATGAATGAGGTGATGAATGAGGTGATGAGTGAGGTGATGAATGAGGTGATGAATGAGGTGATGAATGAGGTGATGAATGAGGTGATGAATGAGGTGATGAATGAGGTGATGAATGAGGTGATGAATGAGGTGATGAATGAGGTGATGAATGAGGTGATGAATGAGGTGATGAGTGAGGTGATGAATGAGGTGATGAATGAGGTGATGAATGAGGTGATGAATGAGGTGACATACACTTCACTACTGGATTTGCATGGCGCAAAAAGGTACCTCCAGGGCGCTGGAAGCTGGGTGAATCTAAGTTTTGAGGCGCCTCAAAACAAGGTAACATCACCACTGGATCTACACGCCCCCGAAAGATACCTCCAGGGCGCTGGCAGTTGGGTGAATCGGGAGAATCCGGTCATGGCTGGAAGCACGTCCACATGCACTGAACCTGGCTCGTGGCCCACTGGTGTTCTCGGGGTATGAGGAGAGGTGGAAGTGAGAGGCGGGACGGAGAGGGATGAGCTTTGAGGCGCCTAAAACGTCCACATGCAGTGAACCTGGCTCACGACACGACCCACAGGCGTTCCCAGAAGTAGGACAGAGGGAAGTGGAAGGTGGGACGTAGAGGAGGGGTGAGGTGAAGGAGAGAGGAACGGGGGAGAGGAAAAGGGGAGAGGAAAGGGGCGAAGGAGGGAGAGAATGGGGGAGGAGGAAATGGGGAAGAAAATGGGGGAGATGGAGAAGAGAAGAAATGAAGGGGTGGTGGTGGTGTCGAGTAGACTAACACTTATGCAGTCAAAGGCAGAAAGGCAAAAAGGCAAAAAGGCAGGAGCAGCAGGTATGAAATGGATAAGAGGGAACACAACGAAGTGGAATGCAGGCAAATGGGAGGGAAAGAGAAGCAGAAACGAGAAGCAGGTAGGGACCTTTTTGTTGGAGCAGAATTGCAGCAGCGCCGCCAGGATAGTTTCGGTAGGATGCGAGGGCGAAGAGGGAGGAGAGGAGATAGCTGCATGGGGAAGAAGGGTTTCAAGGAAGAAGAATTAACGGATGGAAAGAAGGAATCACGAGCTTCAAAAGACTTCTGAGAATATAAAAGAGCAAGAAGAGTAGGAAGCAGGAAGCAGGAAGCACAGCACAGTCGATACTCAAGTATTGGACTCGGTCGATACTTTTGACTCAAAAGTCACCTCGGAAGCAGGAAGCAGGAAGCACAGCGCAGTCGATGCTTGAGTCACTGCGTGCTCTGACTCAAAAATAGCATCGTCACTTACCGGACAACTCGAGTAAGCAGGAGTAGTGGACGTGCAATTATGAAAGTTTCACAAAGGTCGCACGAATCCCAGAAGATGCCGATTTTTTACTCGACTCAAAAATCGACTCACAAAGGTCGCACGAATCCCAGAAGATGCTCAGAAGAAGAAGAATTTATACAAGCAGAGCAAGGCCGCACCTGACAGCCCAAGCAACTTTTGAGGCGTCTCAAAAGTACAAGCACAGCAAGGTCACCTCTCGACTCACCTGACAGCCAGAGCAAGCAGTGCTAGCGGACGTGCGACTCTGCCAAGGGTCCTGCTGATGCCGCTGCTGCCAGCTGTGGCTCGCAATAGCACCTGCCTGGAAGGTTCGTACGGTCAGGGAAATGTGGCTGAGTAGCTGAATAAGTAATGCTTCGGAACTGAGCCACAAGTAGGTGGCTGTTTTTGAGTCGACTCAAAAACGGACTCATCACACGCAGCTGAATAAGTAATGCTTCAGAACTGAGCCACAAGTAGGTGGCTGTTTAGGCTTCTCAGGGACCACCAGACGACGTCTAGAGTTAAGGGAAGGGAGTGAGTGAGGGAGAGGCGAAATGGAACTTACTTGGACGGACGGACAGATGGCACTTAGTCTTACTAGAGCACGGGAAGCAGAGAGGAGGAAGAGAGGAGGAAGAGAGGAGGAAGAGAGGAGGAAGAGAGAGGAAGAGAGGAGGAAGAGAGGAGGAAGAGAGAGGAAGAGAGGAGGAAGAGAGGAGGAAGAGAGGAGGAAGAGAGGAGGAAGAGAGGAGGAAGAGAGGAGGAAGAGAGGAGGAAGAGAGGAGGAAGAGAGGAGGAAGAGTGGAGGAAGAGAGGAGGAAGAGAGGAGGAAGAGAGGAGGAAGAGGGGAGGAAAAGGGGGGGAAGAGTGCCAAGCCTGAGTCTATTTCTGAGGCGCCTCAAACATAGCTCAGGCAGATGGACTGAAGCCTGATGGCACTTACAGTCTCACTAGAGCACGGGCAGCAGAGAGGAGGAAGAGCGGCAAGCCCGGGAAGAGAAACCGGAGCTCCTGAGAGAAAGAGCGGTGCGAGGGGGCGTTGAGTGGTGGGGTGAGGAAGCAAAGGCGAGGACGGATATGGGGCTCTTTATTCCACCATTCCACTCTCACGAAAGACCAAGGAAAGAACGACAGAATGAGGAAGATGGAATGACGAGGCATGAGTTGGATGCGGTGCAGGGTGATTAAGTTTTGAGAGGTCTCAAAACTAGAGGCATGAGTTGGATGCGGTGCAGGGTGATTAAGTTTTGAGAGGTCTCAAAACTAGAGGCATGAGTTGGATGCGGTGCAGGGTGATTAAGTTTTGAGAGGTCTCAAAACTAGAGGCATGAGTTGGATGCGGTGCAGGGTGATTAAGTTTTGAGAGGTCTCAAAACTAGAGGCATGAGTTGGATGCGGTGCAGGGTGATTAAGTTTTGAGAGGTCTCAAAACTAGAGGCATGAGTTGGATGCGGTGCAGGGTGATTAAGTTTCGAGAGGTCTCAAAACTAGAGGCATGAGTTGGATGCGGTGCAGGGTGATTAAGTTTTGAGAGGTCTCAAAACTAGAGGCATGAGTTGGATGCGGTGCAGGGTGATTAAGTTTTGAGAGGTCTCAAAACTAGAGGCATGAGTTGGATGCGGTGCAGGGTGATTAAGTTTTGAGAGGTCTCAAAACTAGAGGCATGAGTTGGATGCGGTGCAGGGTGATTAAGTTTTGAGAGGTCTCAAAACTAGAGGCATGAGTTGGATGCGGTGCAGGGTGATTAAGTTTTGAGAGGTCTCAAAACTAGAGGCATGAGTTGGATGCGGTGCAGGGTGATTAAGTTTTGAGAGGTCTCAAAACTAGAGGCATGAGTTGGATGCGGTGCAGGGTGATTAAGTTTTGAGAGGTCTCAAAACTAGAGGCATGAGTTGGATGCGGTGCAGGGTGATTAAGTTTTGAGAGGTCTCAAAACTAGAGGCATGAGTTGGATGCGGTGCAGGGTGACTGGAGAGGGGAGTGCAAACAGGGCTGGGGCATGCAATAGGTGACTGGAAGGATGGTGCTGATGATTGCAACAGGTGAGGCATGGTTTGTGATTTGTAATTTTGGATTTTTGATTTTTTGACTCGATTGAAAAGCCAACGCGAGTGTGGCTTGGCTTGGCTTGCCTTGTGAGGGAGCAAGGAGTAGAATCCTGCAGACTTGCGGAGAAAAAGAGCAAAGAATTCTCGAGACGAGACTACCCTGCATCCCGCCTTGCCTTGTTTTTTAAGGTGTCTCAAAAAAGTCGTTTTTTGAGACGTCTCAATTCTCGAATCTACCCTGCATTTTGCCTTGCCTTGTGAGGGAGGAAGGAGTAGAGGCCCACGAAGGTGAGTGCTGGCAGGAAGAAGCGCAGCATGCGACGGTCGAGAATTGGACCCAGCTGGGGTGGGCACGGAGAGTGGAGGCAGGGAAGGGGAGAGTGGAGGCAGGGAAGGGGAGAGTGGAGGCAGGGAAGGGGAGAGGTAGGAAGGGAAGGGAAAGGTGAGTAGCAGCAGTGGCTGCAGCAGTGAGACATAGAAAGGAGGGAGCGGGCATTGGGCTGTGCCTGTAACGTGACACAAAATCTTCAGCCCACTTGGACAGCGTGTGTGTGTGTGTGTGTGTGTGTGTGTGTGTGTGTGTGTGTGTGTGTGTGTGTGTGTGTGTTTTTTTTTTTTTTTTTCCCATACAATTTGTTCAAGCAACCTGCACCCGCCTGCCTGACAGAATAGAACCCGCCTCGAAAAGAGAGTTCTGAGAAATTGAACATGACGTACAAAGGAGAGTGGGTAGGCTAGAAGCAGGGCTCAGGGAAGGGCTTACGTGAAGTACTATCAGTGCGGGCCTCTTTTGAGTCGACTCAAACGCCCAAAGGAGAAAGCAGAAACAAAGGAGGGATTGCTTTCGAGAAGGGTGAGCCATTGACTTGACACGTACAAAGGAGAGTGGGTAGGCGAGAAGCAGGGCTCGGGGAAGAGCTGACGTGAAGTACCAGTGTGGGCTGGACACCTGGATAGGTTGCATGCAGGGGAGGGTGCAGGGGAGGGCTGGTCAGGGGAATGATTGAGAATGCCGACAAACACCCTGCAATTGGAAGTACGTTAAAAGGGCTGACGTGAAGTACCAGTGTGGACTGGACACCTGGATAGGTTGCAGGGGAGGGATAGAGCGGGGTTAGGTTGGGGTGAAAACGGGGTTAGGTCGGGGTTAGAACGGGGTTAGGTTGGGCATTTGGCCACTCCCCCTTGCCAATACACTGTAATGCACCTTACTGCACCGCGATACACCGCACCACATACATCACATCAAAGACTGGTGTGGCACGTACCCCCCATTCGGAGCTCTTGGTTGAGCGCGGCGTTAAAAGAGAACCGTACCTTTTGGCCAGAGGGGGAAGCGCCACCACAACACACCCTCGATTCTTCCCCTCCACTAGACCCCACTTTACCGCACTGCACCGCACCATGCACAGCAGATCAGAGCTCCCCCGGTGGCATGTACCCCCCATTCGGAGCTTTTGTTGAAAGCGGTGTTGAAAAAAAGCACCGTGCCTTCCGGCCAGAGGGGGAAGCGCAGCCACAAGACATTTGTAAGGCACAACCTTCTACTCGCACCTCAATACACCTCACTACACCGCACTGAACTGCACCATAGCCCACAACATCCTACTGCACCACACTAAACCATACCAAATAGATCACAAGGCGGGCGGCACGTACCCCCCACTCGGAGCTCTTGTTGAGAGCGGTGTTGAAAAAAAGCACCGTGCCTTCCGGCCAGAGGGGGAAGCGCAGCCACAAGACATTTGTAAGGCACAATCTTCTACTCGCACCTCAATACACCTCACTACACCGCACTGAACCGCACCATAGCCCACAACATCCTACTGCACCGCACTAAACCATACCAAATAGATCACAAGGCGGGCGGCACGTACCCCCCACTCGGAGCTCTTGTTGAGAGCGGTGTTGAAAAAAAGCACCGTGCCTTCCGGCCAGAGGGGGAAGCGCCGCCACAAGACAGAGTCCACTGATATCGTGAGCACTGCGGAAAACAGGGGGAAAGTGTGGGAGAATGGGGGAGAATGGGAGAAAGTCATGAGGAGGGGAGGAGCAGAAGTGCACTCAAGAACAGCCACGGGACAGAGTCCACTGATATTGTTAGCACTGCGAAACACAGGAGAAAGTGGGGGAGAATGGGGGAGAATGGGAAGAGGAGGGGAGGGGCAGAGGTGCACTCAGAAGCAGCCACAATACAGAGTCCACTGATACCGTCAGCACTGCGGAAAACAGGGGGAAAGTGGGGGAGATAGGGAAAGGGGGAATGGGGGGAGGGGGTGCGGCAGACACAGCAGCAGTGCACTCAGAAGCAGCCACAATACAGAGTCCACTGAGACCGTCAGCACTGCGGAAAACAGGGGAAAGTGGGGGCGATTGGGAAAGGGGGAATGGGGAGAGGGGGTGCGGCGGACACAGCAGCAGTGCACTCAGAAGCAGCCACAATACAGAGTCCACTGAGACCGTCAGCACTGCGGAAAATATGGGGAAGTAAAGGAGGGGAACATAGGGAAAAATAGGGGAGAATGGGGGAGAAAGGGATAGGAGGGGAGGAGCAGGAGCGCAGTCAGAAGCAGCGAGAAGACAGATTTGACTGCTGCCGTGTAGGATTGTGGGAGAACAAGAGTATCAACAGAAGGAGACTTTTGAGTCGACTCAAAAGTCGACTGCTGCCATGTAGGATTGTGGGAGAACTGAATGGGTATCAACAGAAGGGCGAGTGGGGACGGCGGAATGGGGAAGGGGGACGGACGGACAGGGGAATGGGGGAGGAGTGAAGCCGGAATGGAGAAGGGGGGAACGGGGTGCGGGCGGGAAGCAGCAGGAATGCAGTCAGAAGCAGCGAGAAGAGAGAGTCCATTGGCATCGACATCACTGCAGGAAGACTTTTGACTCAAAAGTCAGAAGAGAGAGTCCACTGGCATCGACATCACTGCAGGAAGGGGGATTGCAATAGTGGGCCGAGGGGGGAGTGGAAGGGGGGGATATAGGGAGAGAGGAGGGGATTGGGTAGGCAGCGCAGTAGGAGTGCACAATTCCACAAAGAGGTGGTTTTTGAGGAAGGCGCCTCAAAAACCACCTCAAGGCAGCGCAGTAGGAGTGCACAATTCCGCAAAGCAAGCATACAGGACAGAGGATAGAAGCGCACAAGAACAGATAGAGGAGAGAGTGTGTGAGTGGAGTGTGAATGATCCTGGTGGAAAGAAAGTGTGTGGAAACCCACTTGTGTGCACACTTACTCAGACTAGCTATGCCGGTCAGGACACATGTGAGCACTGCAAAGAAAAAGCCGATTGACCGAGTCTGTAGCAAGGAAAGGGCAATACGGAGAGGTGAAGTAAGAAAAGGAACAACACCAAAAGGCAATAGGAAAAAATGTTCATCACAAAAAAGGTTTCATACAAAAAGGATCAATGCCAAAAGGGTCAACACAAAAAAGATCATTACGAAAACGTTCATAAAACGGACAGTTTTAGAAAGGAAAGGTAACAAAAGGACAGGTTCAAGAAACAGGTGGGATGCTTGGTTTTGAAAAAGGAGAGAGGGTACTAACGAGCAGTAAGGAGAGGCCGATAGGGGCAAGGAGTATGAGCACATCACATCGGAAGACAACAAATGCAAAGACCTGTGGGGGCGATGGAAGGAAAAGGGAAGGAAAAGGAAAGGAATGGAATGTCGGGGAGAGAAGAAAAGGGACTGCTTTTGAGGCATGTGAAGAAGTGCGTAAGCACATCGCATCGGGAAGACAACAAAAGCAAAGACCTGTGAGAGATGGACGGGAGGGGAAGGGAAAGGGAGGGCGAGAGGAGGGAAGGGAGAAGAAAAGAGCAGGCAAGAACATGGCATGGGAGGGCAACACATGCACAGACGTGCAAGAGAGACAGAAGGAAAACGGAAGGGAAGGCGAGGGAAGGGAAGGCAAGGGAAGGGAAGGGAGAAGAAAAGAGCAGGCGAGCACATAGCATGGGAGGGCAACACATGCAACGACGTGCAGGAGGGAGAGAGTGCAAGCACAAACAGAAAACGCCTGAACGTGCAATGTAAATTTGGTTGTTTTTTTAAGGCGCCTAAAAAATCACCTCTGTTCAATCAATATTCACTCGCTTGAACTTACCAGTGTCTGCAAAGCTTGTGCGGCCTTGCCCTTAATCCAGTAAGTGAATGCCAGGTTGGCTGTGGGGGCGAGGTAAGTAAGACGCAGGGGGATGCAGAAGAATGGGGTGAACGAGTGAGTGAGTCTGTCTGTCCATCCGCCTGTCTGCTGCCTGTCTGCTGCCTGTCTGTCTGCCTGTCTGCTGCCTGTCTGTCTGCCTGTCTGCCTGCCTGTCTGGCTGCTTGCAAAAGTCTGATTTTGAGGCGCCTCAAAACTGTGAGTCTGTCTGTCCATCCGCCTGTCTGCCTGGCTGCCTGCCTGTCCGGCTGCTTGGAAAAGCATCTTTGAGGCGCCTAAACTGTGCATACACACACACGCCAAGGGAGCAAGAGTAAGAGCGTCTAGAGCCACCAAAGACGGTGCAGTAACACATAAGGGTGCCAGCCGAGTGGTTGGAGGTTCGGAAAATTGGCTGGAAACACGGTGCCGAGCAGTGCCGAGCAGTGCCGAGCAGTGCAAAGCGGTGCAGAGCAGTGCAGAGTGGTGCAGAGCAGTGAAGAGTAGTTGCAGGCGCGCAGCACATAGCATACCGAGGGCAAGAGCAAAGACGTTGGGGAGGGGGCGAGAGGCGTAGAAGGGCAGGTGGAACTGGGATAGGAGCAGCAGGGCAAAGTATCTCGCCGTTGGGGTGCCGAAGGTAGTGGCGATCTGATGGCGGATGGAGAAAGAGAGGGAGCGAACAAGGGAAAGAGAGGGAGAAAAGAGTAAGGAGAAAGAGAAAAGCTTTTGTTAAGGAGGGCTCAGTGAGCCAAGTATATCGCTGTTGGGGTGCCGAAGGTAGTGGCGATGTGAGGGTGGATGGACGGAGGGAGGAATGGTGGAGGGGTGAAGAGTGGGAGGGGGAGGGAGCGGGGGAGAGGGAGCAAGGGAGTGGGTTCCGAGAAGGAAGTGGAGGGAAGAGAGAGCAAGGATTTGTGAGGATTTTTGGGGAACAAGCAAGTATGAGCAAGGAAGGGGAAGGAGACTCCATTGAGCAGATTAATGACGTATGAGATTTTGGGAGCAGCAATCGAGTGAGAGCGAGATGCGGTGTGGTGCGGTGCAGGGTGTGGTATGTTCTGGTGCGGTGCGGTGCGGGGAGAAGTGATGGGACGAGACGGAACGAGGGGGAACAGGATGGGAAGTCACCTTGCATGACATGGCATGTGTTGCTCGCAGTAATAGCAGGTTACATTACATGATGACACCCTTACACCATGCCATCCTTTGTGTAAAACACGTAGACATGTAGAACACGCAGCTGGACAGGGAACCCTCACTTGCCGTCGACGCAAGTAGAAGGAGAGAAAGACAAGGAACCCAAGTAGTTCACATGCCTATCATGCTTTCCTTTCATGTGTGAAAAACACGTCCGTAGGTGGACACCTCACCTGCCGTCGAAGCATGTAGAAGGAGAGGAAGACAAGGAACCCAAGAGTGCCGCGCACTGCATGGCAGAGGCAGAGGCAGATAGACGGGTGCAAGCATAAGTACATGCAGATACACCTATCCACAGGCGCACAAGCACATCACTGGGAAAGTAAGCTGTGCAAGTCAAAGCGCACCTGACTAACTATTACCTACCAATAACGAGTGCTGTGATTTTAGAAGCACCAAACAGGTGAGTGATAGCCACTAGGGGGGATGATAGCCCTGCCACTAGCAAGGATCCTGGTACGGGGCAGAGTGAGGGGAAGAGAGGGAGGGGAGCGATGAGAGGAACGGAACGGTGATCTTAGAAGCACAGAACAGGTAATCCTAGCCACTAGAGGGGATGATAGCCCTGCCACCAGCATGGCTCCTGACAGTGGGCAGCGTGAGGGGAAGAGAGGGAGGGGAGAGGGTGGAAGGGAGTGGGGGAAGAGGGAGGGGAGACGGAGGGAGGGGAGACGAAGGGAGAGGATGAGGTTGAAGAGGGGAAAGGTGTGGGAAAAGAGGGGAAACGAGAAGGGTAACAGGGAAGGGGCATGGGAGAAGAACCCAGGGAAGGGCGAGTCGGAAGAGAATGCTATGGGGGCGTGTAAGTAGTTTCCAAATACGCCAAGGGAGGAGGGAGAGAGAGAGAGAAGGGAGAGTGATGCACCATTAGAGAGGGAAAGGGAGAGGGAGAGGGGGGAGGGAGGGAGGGAGGGAGTACACACCGAGGAACGTTCGAGGCACCACGCCCGGGAACTCAAAGTGATCGTACTGTTTGTGCCCGAATGAATAGCAGCAAGGGAAGAGGTAGGGGCACACGGAAGGGAGGAAGTGGGTGGGTGGATGGGAGGAGTTGGGTTCTGAGGTGCCTCAAAACCCGAAGAAACGTTCAAGGCACCACGCCTGGAAACTTAAAGTGGTTGTACTGTTTGTGCCCGGATAAGTGACAGCAAGGGAAGAGGTAGGGGCGAAGAGAGGGGGGAAGTTGGTGCGCGCATGAAAGGGAGGAGTGAGGTGTGGTGGGGTGCGGTGGGGTGGGGTGGGTGTGATGGGTTTGAATCGAAAAGTGTGCATACGTTCACTCTTCACACGTGAACATGAATTTTTAAAAGTCGTGTACATACATACAGACAGGCAGACAGACAGACACCCACCATTACATGGTAACCCGAATAGCGGCAGATTTACGGGTGCTTGCTATGCTAGGACCGATGCACATGGTGATTCATGATCTGACGTGACAGGGAGTCCACGTGGCAGAGCGTTCACATGCTCTGGCTGACGTGGCAGAGCAGGAATGGCAAGCAGTACCTGAGACAGGTGGAATCTGTGGAAGAGCAGATCGTGCATGGCCTGGCATGGGACATGGGGGAAGGGCGGTAGGGAGAAGAGGGATAGGGGAGAGGGATAGGGGGAGAGGGATAGGCGAGTGAGACAGAGGTGAGCGTATGGCCTGGGCCAGGTGGAATCTGTGGAAGAGCAGATCGTGCATGGCCTGGTGTGGGAGAGGGGGGAGAGTGGGGAAGAGGGATAGAGGGAGAGGGAATGGGGGGAGAGACGGATTGGCAAGTGAGTCAAAGGCGAGTGATGCTGCTGCTGCTGCTGCTGCTGCTGCTGCTGCTGATGATGATGATGATGATGATGATGATGATGTTGATGATGATGATGATGATGATGATGATGATGATGATGATGATGATGATGATGATGATGATGATGATGATGATGATGATGATGATGATGATGATGATGATGATGATGATGATGATGATGATGATGATGATGATGGTGCTGCTAATGAGGGTCATCCCAGGGGTGATGGTGATGATTCCGAAGCTCTCCTACCAACCAGGGGTGAGCGCGCAGAGCACTCTCTCTGTCTGTCTCTACTCGCCTGCACGTTGAAGCTCTCTTCCACCTTGGTGACGGGCGCCCACCACACGTGCGCCGTGCGAGTGATGGCTATTGCATGGCGACTGATGATGGTGCTGATGACGCTGAATCTCTACCAACGAGGGGTGAGCATGCAGAGCACTCTCTGTCTCTACTCGCCTGCACGTTGAAGCTCTCTTCCACCTTGGTGAAGGGCGCCCACCACACGTGCGCCCATATCACCGCCAGCAACGCCACGTCCCACACTGCATGTGTGAGTGTGCGAGAGAGTGAGCGAGTGAGGGAGTGAGAGAGAGAGTGAGTGTGTGAGTGAATTAGTGAGTGAGACACGGCGTAGAAGGAAGGAGGGTACGGTTATTGAGCTCTGTTGCTGTTTGAGCTCGGAAACATAAAAGGAAGGAGGCTGGAAATATACCCTAGGAGGATTCTTTCTTTGGCGGCTTGAAAATAGGCTCCTTTTCTACGGCTCAGACTAAAGAGGAGGGCAGACGAGGAGAGCGGTTAATGGTGGCGAGTGAATATGAGCCGGGGAATGCGGGAGAGGCGAGACGGGATGGAGGAAGGGTGGGTTAGGGAGATGGAAAAAGACGAGGCGGGGATAGAGGGAGCTGCGGTAAGGGGAAACGGGTCTTTGAAAAGGGGCGACGACGACGACGACGACGACGATGGAGGACGATGGAGGACTAGCAGCTAGCAGCAGGGATGGCGCGAAATGCATGTGTGCTTGAAGGCGGCTCAGAATGCGTCGCAATGGCGCGGAATGCGGAGCGAGACGAAGGTAGGAGAACACGAGAGCACGCGACGCACCATCCACGGGGATGCGAGCTTCCCTGGTAGGATCCGATTGGCTCGCCGACCTCAGACCCATGATGCCGCCACGACTGCCACTGCCGCTGCCACTGCCGCTATCGCCTAGCGTAAGACGGAACAATTATAATAGCACGCTACCACGAGAAAAATAAGGTGGAAGGAAAGCGCCGAGCGGGTCCTGTTCAATGATAAATGACAGTGACAATTCCACAGCTCAGATTATAGTAGACTCCAACATGTGATGAGTGGAAGGAATTTGGATTTTGTACCCGATACTGTTGGCTTTGTGGTCGGTTTGTTCAACACATGTATTCCAAAACAGCGGAAAATTGTGTATTGACATATATAGTTTAAACCGAATCAAACCGAGCTTAAGATACCCTGTTCTGTCGTGAGCTGTCAGAAAACTCCCATACACACTTCCTTTCCGCCTCTTCAAGTAGATCGTGTGCCGTATCGAGTTTCCCACTAGCGAGTCATATCTTATCCGCTTCACTTTCCCCCAATCCTTCCGACCCTACTGTCAGGACCAGGTGTCATGGCACGCACTCTCGCGCCGCGCGTTCTCCTCGCACGCGACGGTACGACACTAACCATGGAACTTGGAATTTCGACTGGATGTCAGAGATTCGCGCGTCCGGAGGTATCATTGCGATCAGGGCGAATGCTACTATTAGGGCAACCATTGAGTCTCAGTTCTCGCCTTCACTCCCCTATTCGGCGCTGGCCAATAACCGCCTGTAGCAGCAGCAGCAGCAGTTCGCTCGCCGTAACGCTCAGTCCCGCGGAAGATACGCGAATTGCGCGTTTTTTGCGCACTCCGCGGAGTCCGCTGGTTCCGCCTGGCAACTTTGCCAGGGAGGTGAGCAGCTGCCCGCGCATTAGCGCGAAAGGAACGGTAGGCGCAGGAACACGGGAGCGGGTTTCCGCGCGGGCGGCGCAAGGAGGCGGAGGAGGCGGGTCGCGGGATACGGGTGCGGATGAAAAGGGGAGCGGCGGAGGCGGATTGGACGACCTCGATTTTGCCGTGTTCAGATTCACCCTCGGTAGGCTTAGTTGGATGTGTCGATCGGGTAACGCTAATCTGGCTGGCCACTGGTATGGCTCATCTGGGTCCGCTCGTCTGGTCCCCTTCCCCACGAACCACTTTCTTCTTCCCCCTTTCTCCCTTCCCCCTTTCCCCCTTTTTCAGCGGATTCCCGTGCCAAACTAACCCCCTTTCACTCTTTGTCGCTCACATAACCTCCCATTCCTCCAGCCCGGGCATCTCCTGGCGTTCGACTAGACTCAGAGCCTACCTCGCTGTCTCTCTCATTCCCTCCTCCTGCTAGGTATCCCCTGGCTGGACGATTGCGGCATTCCCGAGGTGGTTGTTGAAAGCCTCCAAGAATCCACCCCCTTTCTCTTCTGTCGCTCTCACAAACCTTTCCCCCCCTTCCCCAGGTATCCCCTGGTTGGACGATCGCGACATTCCCAGGGTGGTGGGGACGCTGCTGGGTGTGGCGCTGCTGACCAATCACATGCTGACACCTCAGCCCCAACTGCCAGCTCAGACTGTACGTGTGGCCACCTACCACGCAACGCCACGTCACGTCACTTGCATTGCATGTGTGAACAAACGAAACCGCTTCCAAAATGCAAAATCTAGTGTCGGCTGAAAATATCCCTCTCATTGCGCGCGTCTGTGCATACATCGGATGATTCAAATCCGCCTCTCTTTAGCGATCCACCTCACGATCAGGTGAAGAGCCGCAATGCCAGTTCCGTCCTCTCCCTTCTTCACCCCTTCACCCTCTCACTGCGCCCCTGCGTGCATACATCAATTCCGCCTCTCATTGGTGATCTGCCTCACCTCACGATCAGGTGAAAAAAACAGCAGTGTCATTTCCGTCCTCTCCCTTCTTCCCCCCTGCCAGGTACCAGACTGTGTAGGTAGGAGTGCTGCTGTTTCTCATGTCGCTGCTGCTTCTGCCGTTCATTGAGTTTCGAGAGACGTCTCCCATCTGTTCTCGTCCTTTTCTCTCCCCCCGCCAGGTGTCGGAGTGTGTGGGAGTGCTGCTGATTCTCGTGTCACTGCTACTGCCTTTCATAGATCGGAAGCTGCAGGTGCGTGTGCCTCTGTGTAGGGGTGTGTGTGTGAGGAGGGGGGGAGAAAGTGGGGGGATTGGGGCGGCTGGTGGGGGTTGGTTGTGGCTGATTCTTGTGTCACTGCTACTGCCTTTCATTGATCGGAAGCTGCAGGTGCGTGTACATGTTGCTGTGTTGTGTAGATCTCTGTGTGTGTGCATGCACTGCGTTTGCACTATGTGTGTGTGTGTGTGTGTGTGTGTGTGTGTGTGTGTGTGTGTGTGTGTGTGTGTGTGTGTGTCTGTGTGTGTGTGTCTGTGCGTGTGTGTTTTGTGTGTGTGTGTGTGTGTGTGTGTGTGTGTGTGTGTGTGTGTGTGTGTGTGTGTGTGTGTGTGTGTCTGTCTGTCTGTGTGTGTGTGTCTGTGCGTGTGTGTTTTGTGTGTGTGTGTGTGTGTGTGTGTGCGCGCACGCGCGCACGTGTGCGCACATGCATGGCACTAACTGCATGCATCTGTGCCTGTGCCCGTGTGACTGTGTTTGCATGGTGAGCAGGTGAGCAGTGGAGCAAGACTCACCTCTCCCTCCTCATCCATCTCATCCGCCTCCTCTCCCTCTCTGAAGCCCCTCTTCCTCCTCTCCGACTCTCTCCCTCCATCCCACCAACCTGTATGTGTGCCTGTATGTGCGTGTGCATGCACATGTGAGCAGGTGAGCAGCGGAGCAAGACTCACCTCTCCCTCCTCCTCCTCCTCCTCCTCCTCCTCATCCGCCGCCTCTTCTTCTCTCAAGCCCCTCTTCCTCCTCTCTGACTCTCTCCCTCCATCCCACCAACCTGACATAGCATGGGCCACGTACGCCTCTCTTCGCAACACCAGTGCCACTGCTCTGCTGGTATGTGCTCTACTTTTCAGCTCGTGATGCTCATGTTTGTTCATGCTTGTGTACAGTATACGTTTGTGTAAGCTTGTCCAGGTTTATGTTTTGTGTGTCTGCTTGTATATGTTTGTGCATGCATGCATAATTATATGTAAGTTTGTGTAACTTCCGATTTTCTGTCTCTAGAGTTCGCAAGTCGTCCCCTTATTCTGCTCTACAATCCTGGCACTATCCACCGCTCTCCACCCCACTCCACCATTCTGTCTGCAGGTTCTAGATTCTAAGCGCGAACTTCTCTGTGCAAGAGGAACCTTCCTGGCATCTGCATGCCAGCCTTCCTCTTCCTCTGCCTCCTCCTCCCCTCCCCTACCCTCCTCCCCCTCCGCCTCCTCGCCATCCCAGCCATCCCCACTGGCATCCCTCTCCTCGCTTCTCTCATCCGCTCTCACCTCCTCTCAGCCACTCAGACAAGCACTAGACTCTTCCCTTGCAGCTTCACCAGCACCATCGTCATCACCATTCCCACCGACCGTACTCCTATCCTCCTCATCGCTCTCTGCCCTCTCCTCCTCCATCTCCCCTTCTCGATCCGGACTCCTCATCCCCCTCACCTCTGTTAATCAAGCAGGCAGCAGCAGCAGCAGCAGCAGCAGCAGCACCCCTCCCTCTGTAGCCCTCCCATCAGTGTCAGGGGCTCTTCTTATTCTGTCAGATGCTCCAGATGCCTTCACTCCTGCTGATCGCCGCTGGCTTGCTGCTCTCGCTGCACGCATGCACGCCCTTCTCTCTTCCCCCTCATCAACTTCGTAACCTTTGTCTGCTGCTCTCGTTGAGTCAACTACCGGTACTCAAAAACTTGGCTGCTCACAGGGATGCGCTTCTGATCCTGCATCTCCATCTTCCTAACTTTCTGTGCTCTTCCCTTGTCTCGCCTTCCTCTCTTCGCCCTCCTGCTTTTCCTCCTGGTATTCAGTTCTCCCGTCACCCTTTCCTCTTCTCTCTTCTTTGTGCTCCTCTTCTTCCTCCCGTTCTTTCTTCGTTGCCCCTATCCATGTGGGTACTGGCGTTAAGGCAGAAGCATCACTGCATGGCTACCATTTATCAGATTTTGAGCTGCCTAGAAAACAATTACGTATGCCTGTCTCACTTTCTGAGCCGCTTTGTGTTTCGTCTATAACCATTTAATTGTCCTTCCTGGCAACTCCATTTAGCATTACCGCATTTTCATGTACTACCTGGGGACTTCATAAAAGCATTGAAAAATTGCTAGGGTGAACATCATGGAGAATGGAACTGGATAAGTGTCAAGAAAGGAAGTGATGATCTCATTGATGTGAGTTGGGGTACATATAACAAACCCTAACTTTTGTACCCCCTAAGACAAACCTCATTATAGGCTACAACATTTGACACACCCCCATAGCATAAGTGAGGGGTGTCTAGCAAAACCAAAAGTGTACGGTCACAAGACCAGTCACAAAGAAACAAAGCTCGGGGTGGATCACAACGGTTCCACACACTCTGAGCACAAGCAACAGTGGCCACAAGGCCAGTCCAAGAGTTTACAAGTGTGTATAGCAAGAGCACAAGCAATCCAAACAGTAAACTCAAGCCTATACACGACTAGAACCTGTGTCAAAGGCCTAACTACACACAACACCTCTGGTAGTCACAAGGCGGAAGCGCCTTGGTGAAGATGTCTGCAGTGTTGGCCTCAGACTCGACAAACTCGAAACGAACTTGTCCACGTCTCTGCAACTCTCGCAGAAGAAAGTACCTGACGTTAATGTGCTTCACTCTGCTCTCCAGTCGCGGCTCTCGACAAAGGAGAATCGACGTCTTGTTGTCAGTGAACAAGGTCGGTGCAGAGCTCCGCCGCTCACCAAGGTCGGCGAGCAAGAAGGTCAACCAACGCAGCTCCTGTGCCGCCATGGCACCAGCGTAGATCTCAGCCTCAGCTGTAGAGGTCGAGACCGAAGAGGAGCGCGTGGGCCGCCACGAAACAGCTCCAGAACCCAAAGTGAAACAGTACCCCTGAGTAGACCTATGAGTCTCAGCGTCGTCAGCGTAAGAAGAGTCACAGTGACCAGTAAGTACGACAGGCTGCTGCCCTCCAAGAACTAGCCCCACGCCTGATGACGTCGCTAGGTACTTTGCCACTCTCACAGCTGCCGTCCAGTGAACAGGACGGTGTCTCCCTGGCGCAACAAAGCGAGCAAGGATGCTGAGAGGGAAGGTGAGGTCCGAGCGAGTGCAAGTCATCAGGTACATTAGGCAGCCCACCAGCTCTGCGTAGGGACCACTAGACTCAAACGGCTCGTCAGGAAAGGGTCCAGTAAGTCTGTGGTCAACAGCAAGAGGTGTGCGCTGTACTGTGGAGTGCTGAAGCTCGAACCGTTGAAGGACCTGCTGCACCATGTGTGACTGTGAGAGCATAATGGTGCGAGCAGCTCTGTCCCTGGTGATCTGCAGGCCAAGGTAGTGGCGCAACTCACCAAGGTCAGTGCACGCATGTCTCTTCTGCAGTTCAGACTTCACGTCTGCCAAGGCAACCCTCTCAGCAGTGGCAAAAACCAGGTCGTCGACGTAGACCAGAACAAAGAACGGTGTGGAGCCACGACGAACGAACAGCGACTGGTCGGCAGAAGACGGCTGGAACCCAAGGTCAGAGACAGTAGAACGAAGAGTGTCGTGCCACTCACGAGGAGCCTGACGAAGACCGTAGACAGGTCGCCTCAGCCTCCTCACGGGCACGGCGAACACGAGCCTGGTGCCGGGTCGGGTAGGGGTGGGGGGGAGGAGTAGTGTCGGGGGCTGCGGCAGCCCCGGGATCGCCCTCCAAAGCACCTGGCGCACCACCCCCAGAGTCAGCACCACCAATAGCAACACGACCAGGCTCACCAGGACCCGAAGAGGGTGCACCCGCACCCCCAGACGTAGCACCCCCAAAGTCAGCAGGACCAACACCAGCTCCCGGAAGACAAGAGTCTCCTGCAACCATGGGCTCAGCTCCAACTCCAGCGCCCCCAGAGCTAGCACCTGTAGGGGATTCTCCACGAGCACCGGCTCCCGCAGGGTCTGCAGCAGGCTACGAGGAGGACTACGAGGAGGACTGCGGGGAAGGAGGCTGCACCTGAGGGGCTACCGAGGGGGGAGTGGTAGCCTGGGACACACCTGACGGGGTGGGACCAGGGGGGGGAGGCTGTACCGGGGGAGCAGGAGGGGGAGCGAAAGTCAGGAAGAGAGGGGGAGGAGGAACCGGGAGACCTCGACTGGGGTACCTGACGTAGTAGGGGGTGGACTCCTCGAAACGGACGTCACGGGAGTCAAAGAACCGGTAAGAGGGAGGGTGGTAAAAGGTGAAGTAAGAGGAGTCCTCAAGGAAACCAAGGAAGACACAGGGAACGGCGCGAGACGAGAGCTTGTCCGCGGAAGTGTCGCGGACAAGAGCCAAGCAACCCCAGGTACGGTAGGTAGTACGATACGGTACGTACATAGCATGCCAGCCTGCATGTCGCCAGAATTGGCAACAGGGCTAATTTTTGGTTTTGAGCAACCCTTATGATCAGTGCTGCACCTAAGCAAAAACCTGATTATCAATATTACCCAGTAGGAAACTTCTTTTGCATCAGGGTTCAGGCTAGGTTTGAAAAAATTTGCATCACCCTGAGGCATCAGTGCAAGACTTGTAAAAACCCTGCTCAGTTATTGTTACAATGAGTTTAGTCCGAGTTGAGTCCTTGGCGTTGTGTAGAGCGAAACTGTATTTCTGGCCAATAGTGGCCCACTTCGTGCCAACACATGTACGCAAATTCAGGATTTGACAGTTGGCCAACGGGAATCCCGAGTTACGGGAAAGTGGGGGGAGGTCCGGGGGGGGGGGGGGGGGGGGGGGGGGGGTGGGGGTGGGGGTGTGGTACGGTACTAGCTTCAGGGTAAAACTCGCTAAGAAGAACGGTTACCCTGGTGCATCAGTGTGCCTTAAACGTATACCCTGGCTGATCAGGAAAATCACAGCTCCAAAAAAAATTACCCTGAGGCATCAGTGTGACTACCAAAAACAACCCTGATAATCAGGGTATCAGGGTGATTTACACTGAAAATTTGGCCTGATTGGCAAAGATGCCATGCCATGCCCTGCCATGCCATGTTACACCATTCCACCCACCAGTATGAAAAACACTGGGTAAAGAAACACGTGTTGGGTTACATCAATGCCATCATGATTAGCAAGACAAAATATGACCCACGCCCCCCCACACTCCCCCATTCCTCCCTTAAGCCCCTCAACCTGCTTGCCTTCTCCTCTCTTGTAGCCGATTCATGCAGTGACTGCTGCTACTGCTGCTGCTGAGCCGCCATTGCCTGTGACTTGCGACGGCGGCGGTTGTGTCCCAGGAGGCGCATGCGACAGCTGCGCCTGCCCTCGTCAAATTCAGCCAGCGCGTGGAACCTGTGGCGCGAGGAGGGAGGAGTTGTGGGAGGGATAGAGGAGGTGGGGATGAATGGACGGTTTGAGGCGCATGCGACAGGGAGGGAGGGAGGGAGGGAGGGAGGGAGGGAGGGAGGGAGGGAGGGAGGGAGGGAGGGAGGGAGGAGGGAGGGAGGGAGGGAGGGAGGGAGGGAGGGAGGGAGGGAGGGAGGGAGGGAGGGAGGGAGGGAGGGAGGGAGGGAAAAATTTCGAAACGAGTGAGCAATGAGATTGATAGGGAGAGGAAGAGAAGCAGAGGGCGATGGAAGGAATGAGGGAATGAGAGGGAGTCTGAGAAGAGGTAGAAAGCGACATCAGAGGGCGAAGAAGCATTCGCTAAGCGAGAGTGCGGCAGAGGAAGATGAAAAAAGTTCGGAGATAGCGGAAATTGCTGCATAATTCTAAATCCCACCTGCTGCATTGCTGGCAGAAGCGTTGGGCTTGGCCCCCCACAGGAACCGTGGCCGCTTTGGAGTGCTTGTCGCACACGCGGTGCCGGCGATAATACTCCTTCTTCTCATGGTTCAGATCCGCGCTGCACCCCTCCGCCTGACACACCATTGCTGGAGGGTTTGCGCTGTTGTCACTTGATTGTGCTGCTGCTGAAGGGGATACCAGGGGGGATGATGATGGGGAGTGCAAGATTGGAGTGAATTCCACACGTCTTCTCTTGCTGGATGTTTCCTGAAATGCTGGTAATCTTTGCTGCTGCTCCTGCTGCTGCTGCTCCTCCTCTTCCAGTGGTCTCAGCTGCTGCTCATCCTGCGGTGTTCTCTGCTCATGCTGTTGCAATGGTTTCTGCTGCAGCAGCTGGTGCTGCTGCAGCTCCTGTAGTTGCTCCTGCTGCTCCCAATCCAGCCGCCGCTCCCGCCGCCGCCGCCGCTGCTGCTGCTGCTGCTTCTGCTGCTGCTGCTGCTGCTGCTGCTGCTGCTGCTGCTGCTGCTGCTGCTGCTGCTGCTGCTGCTGCTGCTGCTGCTGCTGCTGCTGCTGCTGCTGCTGCTGCTGCTGCTGCTGCTGCTGCTGCTGCTGCTGCTGCTGCTGCTGCTGCTGCTGCTGCTGCTGCTGCTTCTGTTCTCCCTGCTGCAATTGTTGCTCAAGAAGAAGTTGTAAGTCAAGCTCCTGAGTGGTCCCATCCAACAGCCCAACAGCCCGGATCTCCTGTGAAACCTCAGCACTATCACGATGTGCTATACTCTCGTCCTGGTCTAACGCATTCCGCAGCAGCTCAGCAATCTCTGAAACAGTCCACCCCTTAGCACCTGGATGTTCCATATCTTCACCTGGCTGTATGACTGTGTGAGGTGAGGCAGGAGACAACAGGCCTCCTGGTGGGAGGGCTACACCAGAAGTGCTGCCCACTGCTGCTGCTGCTGCTTCTACTGCTGGAGCTGCTATTGGTGGTGTTTCGTGTGTGTGTATGAGGAGGGGGTTGACGGGGTTGGAGGCGCAGATGGGAGGATACATTTGTGCAGCGCTGATACCATGAGAGTTTTCAACAGAGGAGAAAAGCTCCATAATATCAGTAACAGAAATATGGCCGGTGCTGACAGGTGCAGTGATGCCAAAGCCACCACGCACGCTCTCTCTAACCCCAGGAGCCTCAGCACCGCCAGCGGCAACCCCAGCAGAGCCTCCTATCCCAGCAGAGACACCAGCGCCGTCCCCACGCAGCAAGCTTCCTTCAGTAGCTTCCCAGATGTCACTGCTAGCAGCAGTAGCAGCTGCTGCTACCACTGTTCTTCGAAAGTGCTCTTGCTGGAGGTGGAGCTCTGAAGCAGCTAATGATTCAGCGAGGGACAGGTGTTGCGCAGCAGTCGTGTGGAGACCTGAGGGGATGGAAGCAGTAGTAGCAGCGCCACTTGGCCGGCTTACCCCAGCAGTAGCCATGTGGAGACCTGTGGGGATGGAAGCCGTAGGCATAGGCTTGCCACCGCTGAGGTCTTCAACATTTAAAGGAAGATCTGACATCGCCTGCTGCTGTTGCTGATGCTGTTGCTGATGCTGCTGCTGCTGCGGTTGCTGTAGATCATTATAGCGCTGCTGCTTCCTTTGATTCTGCTGCTGTTGCTGCTGCTGCTGCTGAGTGTGACAATTACATTGCTGATATTGCTGCTGCTGCTGCTGCGGCTGCTGTTGCCCTTGATTCGGTTGCTGCTGCTGAGTGCGACAATCACATTGCTGATACTCGTACTTAACCATTTGGAGCTGCTGTTGCTGCTGCTGCTGCTGATCCAAATCCTTGATTCGCTGTTGGCCTTGACCCCGGGGAAGCACTGGTCCCACAAATGGCAGCACATCAAACAATGCCTGACTGCTAATTGAGAGGGTGGATTTCTTGCTGCTGGTCGCAGTGTTTGCAGCTGTTGCTGCTGCTGCTGCTGCTGCTGCTGCTGCTGCTGCTGCTGCTGCTGCTGCTGCTGCTGCTGCTGCTGCTGCTGCTGCTGCTGCTGCTGCTGCTGCTGCTGCTGCTGCTGCAGCCGCCGTTGCTACAGCATCTGCTGCTTCTGTGGGAGGAAACAATGGGCAAGAGGGGGGTCCGTCTGGTACTTTTAGATGGAGGTACCCCCGGGGCTGGGATGGGTGCGGAAGCACAGGCAAGCTCAGAGAGTGAGTGTCGGTTAAAGAGGATGCAAAGCCAGGAAGAGGCGGAACGGTTGTAAAGAGGGAATCCTTGGATATGGGAAAGGGAGAGAACGAGTTCAAATGAGGGGCATGAGGCAGAGGCGAGACAGAAGGCTGGTGTGAAAGGAGGGGCTGAAAGTGGTTAGTGTGAGGTGTTGAGCCCTGATGCTGGACCTGCGTCACGGGTCCTGAGGCACTCCCACCTGCTTCATCATATTCTGTGAAATGCTGTTGTTGCTGCGGTTGAAACTGCTGCTGCTGCAGCTGCTGCCAGCAATTGCACTGAGGCTGTGAGCAATAGTCGCTCCCTCCACCCCCCAATGGCACACCCTCCATTCTCCCATGCCTTGCACCAGAAACTACACACTGGGATGCCGGATCACAAGCCCACGCTGATCCTTCTACACCTAGCAGTACGCTGCCAGAAGGTTCCAGCATATTATCATATGCTCCCATCTCAGCACAAACGATATCCTCACCATGATGATTCCTTGGGAAGGGTCTCATCTGCCGCTGCTCTGCTTCTACCGCCGCCGGTGCCCTCCCTTCCATCGCCATCGCCATCATCATCACGATGCCTCCACCTGTACCATCCACGTCACGTGGAACCACATCATCATGATCCACATCCGCAGACATCCCCGTCTCGATCTTGATCCCGCCGGCACACACGGCTGCTTCCCCTCCACCACTTTCCTCTCCCAGAACCCTATTAGACCGGGTGTTACCCGGTCTAGATACTCCCCACTGTGACTCCCTATTCCCCATTGCTTTCCCTTCCGCAGCTCCTGCCTCTTTACTTTGCAGCGGGAGCGTATCCGTGGAGACAGAAGCAGAACCAGCAGCAGCAGCACCAGCAGCAGCGGCAGCAGCAGCGGCAGCAGCAGCAGCAGCAGCATTAGTAGCATGCAAGAAGCACATGCGGCTTGCACCAGTGTCGCTACCGGCTTGGCAATCGGGAGCAGCAGCAGTAGTAATCATAGCCACATTATCGGAGTTACAATATCTCGTTTCAAGGTGGTGTGAGCTGCTTCTCGGGATCGTGCATGCTTGGCCGCCAGGTGTGCTACTCGTAGCAGTGGCCCTAATGTTGGCCATACTACTACAGCATCAGAAAAAAAAAAAAAAAAAAAAGATAGTAGACGACTGCTGAGCAACAGCAGTGAAAGTGGTAGTAGCTGTTAGTGTTGTGCTCTGTAACCCACACGTTAGCTCTCTGTTGTCTCCGCACGTTGCTCTCTTGCAATAGTAATAAATTTACCAATAACTAATGGTATAAAGAGTAATTCCGGTGGCATCATATCAGCCGCCTCGAGACTGCTTGCTCCGCCGGCTTTGGGAGGCTGAAATGGCCGGACCAGAGACTGAGTTCCCTGCGGTTTGTCTTAGCAGACGTGCTTGAAGAATAAGAACCCAGTGGGTCACTCTACCGTTACTCGACCGTTGGCAACGAAACATGATCCTGCTCCTATTTACTTCTCAGAAGTTAGTAGTAGCGCCGCGCTGGAGCACAGCATACTATGCTGAGTAGTAGTACTCGGTTGGCTACTCAACAAGGTGTCTCAGAATGTTACCCAAATCGACGACTCGCTTAGTTAGTGATGGCACACGAGAATGCTGTGTATATACGACCACGGATACGTGAGGTTCCTTTCAGCGCTGCTGCGTCCTTTGCCGCTGTCACTTTTCACGACTATCCTCGATAGTCCGTGAAACACGCGGCGGAAGATGTGATATTTGGGAGGACTGCCTTCATCCATGGATTCAGAAGCGTTGAACCGTTATGTGAAAAACAAGAAGTTGAAAGGATTCGGCGCGTGGAAAACAGTGGGGCAGGACAGTGGGATTCCTTCGATCGACGACTTTTTCCATACTGTGCCAGGAAGACAGGATTTCTTGCGATACACCCCTAATGCCCTTTTCAGGCCACAACTTCTCGGAAAATGTGTATAAGCTCATGGGCACATGAGCTAACCAAATTGTTATAACATAAGAGATTTCAGCCAGCGCTTTTCTCTCACAAGGACAAGCAATGATATGCGGGTGGCAATGCAGACACATAGTTCCGAGCATCGACTTGTTACCCGCGTGCAGGTGCCACCGAACGCATATATAATAGCATCGAGACCAGTCGGCCGTGCGGTTCATTGAGCACTAGGTGTATTAGCAGCTGCGTTACCACTGCAGTGTGTGGTTGGTCGACCCCTGACCAACAGTCTTTCCCCGTGAATCTTGTTCGTTGTTCCCCAATGGTATGGTTTGTTGATTCGATCATGATGCGCTAACAGGTGTTGGGAATACAGTAGAGGCTTCCAGTCGACCTCTATTCAACTTCTCTGACCTGTCGCGTTGTAATGAAGCACTCAACAACGCAAAACACCTTCCACATGTTGCCAAACCTTCTCGTGTCTCGAAGGCTGTTCTTTCAAAGAAAAAGCGTCGCGTTGCATCTCTAACACGGGCAATGGCATCTCGTTCAAACCCCCCTGATCATGAAATGCATCTTTTACAAGTGAAAGTTAGGGTACATTCTTATCTAATGTCAGATATCAAGTTATCGGCCCCTAGTATCCAATTTCCATTTTTAAAGCCTCATTTTCCCTGAAGACCAAACCCATTTGGGTCTTCCAAACTTCCAATTTGCACTATACCTGATGTTATCCACGAGATCTAGCCACATTATTGTAGCAAGTTTTGCAATTACAAACTAAAAAAAAAATCTTGTTTATTAAAAACAAATACAAGTAATGGTAAGGAACTTTATCTTCAATGATGCAGATAGAAAAATATAATATATATTTTCCCATACGACACACTTCATATGAGAGGCATGCATTTTTTACCTCCACATTAGTTTCGTTTATTAGCTATGTCAATATTCAAAAGTGAAAAAAATACGTTTCCTATATAATTTTTCACATGAAGCAAAATTTGATGTAATGCAAGTGCATATTTTTTCATACAGTTATATTTGAGTGGAACCATCATGAACCATTAAACCAGTAACTACACTATTCAGAAAAGCTATTAGTGAAAAATGTTTCCACGTTGTAACAAAATCATCATTATATTTATCTATATGTTGATTGGAATCATAAAACAACTCAAAAAATTAAATGAGATAGCCCGTCTAAAACTGTGACGAAACATTACTTGGAGTCACGTTTTTGCTACATTCTACCAAGGTTTGTCCACCATTTGGCCTTTTAAAAACATAGACACCTCCAAGAATTGTCAATAAGTTTCGCCCAGAAATACCGTTTGTGAATCTAGAAAGCGACGAAGTGTATAAGTCTCTACTTGCCGCCAACCTTGAGTGGTTTAGCTTCTTTGTCTGAGCAGTGTTCGAACTGACAGCATTTCCTCACTATCAACTCTGGACATGACAAAAATCTCACCATAGTTTTCGGTACACTGCCCTGTCCTAGTTCAATTAACAAACTACCCTTTCATACTTTTGAAAAGAAGTGTTTGCTCTGTGTTATGGCTGAGAGGAGACCAGCTGCAGACATTTCAGTATCACTAGAAATGAAACATGTACACATTTACGAGCAGGAACACATTCACGCGCCGTTTAGGGACGAGTCACATTCGTGGGACGAATCACAATTACGTAAAAAAATGTGTAAAAGCCCAATATACACCCAGACACACCCTTATCCAAGCTCCATCCCTGCATTTAATTTTAATTTCCAGCAGGGAGGACCCTAGATTGCTCCTCGCCCCTCAACACCACCGAGAGCTGTACCCAGTGCTCCCTCATCCCCCACAAAGAACCGCTGCTATTCAAACTCGTCTGAACCTTTTCGATACTAGAGGCACTGTGTTGGAAATACTGCTCGCAATAGTTTCACACAGTGCCAGTTCCGAACCGACATAGGCACACACTGCATTGGCAGGGCGATTCATTATCACAACCTGGATCCGTCATTTCGTGAGTCCTGCTCGGGGGCTTGGTCGGGAAATTACTCTGGTCAACACGTCCGTGCACAGTCAGGGTTTGAACAACACTTGTCATTTTCAAACCAATCTAACGACTTCTTGTCGTGTAAGCATCAGATTTGAGCTGGCACGAAAAGAGAAACTTCAGCGAATTGCTGACAGTTTTGTCCTCTAATGAGGTCTGTTCGGTAGGCCCATTGGTCCCAAACTGTGCTGTCCCTTCACGAAAATTTGTCCGTTTTCCTTGGAAATTCCGGGTTGAGTTTGTCACACCTGTGACATTTGAAGGGTTACTTTAGGGGTTGCCGGTTTCCCTGTGCAGGTTGAGTTGGCCTTATTCCCCTGATTTCAGATAGTCAGGCTTGGGGTCTGCAAAGAGCCGCTCTACAATGGTAGCTGGACGAACTGGGAGGCTACAGGGTTGTAGAGGTGATTGCAGCGTTTTACTTGCTCTTTATACTACTTGTGTTCACGGGGCAAATTGGCAAGAGTTTCACTAAGAACTTTGAGAAGTCGACATAGCAAACCTAGCATCCTAGAAATTCGACCTACAGCGCAGCACAAAGGCGGCTTGCCAACGTCGCAATATGGCGGCGTGCCAACGCAGATGGACGGCGACTTACTAACACTACAAGATGGAAGTGTATCAGTGTCACATACGACGGCTTGCCAACGCAGCAGCAAGGCGACTTGCCATTTGTACAGCCGCAGATAATTGTGTGCGCACATGTGCGCACCTACCAAGTAGATTGAGAAAATGAACCATAATGAATTGACTAAGGGAAAGTTGGGTACAAGTACAAACCCTAGAAAGTCGTACCCTATATGTGCTACCCCACTATAGCCTACAACAGCTATGTCATATAAATCTGACACACCCCCATAGGCAAAGTGGGGGAGAACAAGGGGTCACAAGACCAGTCAAGCAAAGCAAAGCAAGCTCAGGGTGGATCACAAAGTCACCACACATTCCGAGCACAAGTTCAAGGCCACATGGCCAGTTCACATGCAAGATTACATATATATATAAGGCTAGACAAGCAAGAGCAGGAGTATATAAATATATGTAACAGTACAAACAAGGTCAAGTGGTGAGCAAGTGAGGCACGGCAGGTACAAGACCCAGCTGAGTACAGAAGCGCTGATAATCACAAGGCGCTAGCGCCTTGGTGAAGATATCAGCAGTGTTGGCCTCAGAGGCCACGTGCGCAAAGCGCAGTTGACCACGCTGCTGTAGCTCACGAGCAAGGACGTAGCGAAGAGCAATGTGCTTCGTTCTGTGCTCTAGTCTCTGCTCCCAACACAAGGCCAGCATGGACTTGTTGTCTACGTACAGCACTGGAGGAGAACGAGGCGGCCCTCCGAGGTCAGTCAGCGTGTAGGTGAGCCAGCGAAGCTCCTGTGCAGCCATGGCTCCTGCGTAGATCTCAGCCTCACAACTGGAGCCGAGAACAGAAGACGAGCGGGTAGCCCGCCACGAAACAGAGCCGGAACCAAGGCTGAAGGTGTAACCCTGTGACGACCGCTGTGTAGCCTGGTCGTCAGCCCAAGAAGCGTCTGCGTGCCCACTGAGGACCACTGGACTCTGCCCTCCAAGCACAAGCCCCATGCCCGACGTATCGCACAAGTAGCGCAACACCCTCTTCGCTGCAGCCATGTGCTCTGGTCGGTGTCTCCGAGGAGCAACATAGCGTGCTAAGATGCTAAGAGGGTATGCAAGGTCAGGTCGTGTGCAGGTCATCAGGTACATGAGGCAGCCAACAAGCTCTGGGTACGGGCCACTCGGCTCTACGGACTCATCCGAAGGCAGAGCTGAGAGCGAGTGGCGAGTAGACAGAGGAGTGGCCTGAGGCGAGGAGTATGTGAAGCCGAAGCGCTGAAGGACCTGCTGCACCATGTGTGACTGAGTCAGGGTAATGGTGCGGCGTGCTGTGTCCCGGGTGATCTGCAGGCCAAGGTAGCTGCGCAGTTCACCCAGG